ATAATAAAAAATACCGGTTCATCAAATATTGTGGAAAGACCTCAAATATGCAAATTTTCTTCAATGTTTTTCTTCCTCGCTCAAGTTTTAAATAAAGTCTCGCAGGTTTATAAACATTAAAATGTCAAAGGTAACTTGTATCAAAGTTGGCTTTTTATATTGAATCTAGCTACACTAATACTATTAGCTTTGTTACTTTGTCCAGGGTAAATCCCTTCAATTTAAAATAATAATATGTTGGATAAAGAATTCCAAGACGTCGTTAATATTCTTGGTTTAACTGTAAGACCTAATACGATTAGACTGTACCTACCTAACGAAGTAAGTAAAGGCTGCATGATATTGTTTAACCATCAATCACGACTTTTGAAATTGAGTGTAATATGTACTAGGCTACTATATAAGTGGATAACCTGAAGTCCACTTTTCATCTACTCTGTAGTATTGAAAAATGTTTGATTTTGTGGAATCTATTCACGTTACTACGGGTAATGTACTCAGAAAGAATCAGGTACAAGTAGACATACTAGTACTTGATTCTTTTTAATATAAAATAAAATTGGTTTCATTTAATTAAAAAAATAATTTTACTTAAATTGTTCCCAACTCTTAGTCCTCTAATTTAGAATTTACATTGTATGTTGGAATGTTTAGTGAACAAGTCCACTTAATACCAATTCTTTGAGCAGAATGAAATTTATTTAGGTTCTGCACCCTGTCAAAGTAAACATCAGCTTTGACATTTCAAGGTAGTTTCATCAAAAGGGGCTAAGCACCGAAATAAATTCAAAAGCAATTTCTTTGAATAGAAGTTCGTTTGCATTACAAACATTTTACTGTGTAACGGGTCAACGATTTTTTTCAAATCCCAACGAGCTGCTGTACAAAGAAAAAGTCGAATTTCTTTGGGTTGAAGACCTTTTTCATTATATCAGATTGTGTATTGAAGCTAAACTATGTAAACTATTTAATAGTTCAAATGTATTTGAACAAGTTTACATAGGAGTTAAAATCTTGTACGTCACATCATGGCTGCTGCCTCATCTTCTCGTAAGCTTATTTTTTTTTAAATAAAGTTACTTAAACTAAGGCCTAACTAATAAATGCTAAAAAATGATTATGTTTTATGTAATAATCTAATACTAACTCGATTAAAATCCTGACAAGTGCGAGTCGAATTCACCCACCGAAGGTTCCGCACAAATTTGTAGATACATATTATAAATAGTTTAGGAATCAACCCTCGTAGTTTTTGCCGAAGTTTTGACGAAATTAAGTTTTCAAAACCTGTAATTACTTATATTATTGTTTTTTAAAAGTGAAATTGTACCTCGATGATTGATTATGTACTTAAAATAAAGACTATATTTTTTATGATAATTCCAAATGTGTTTTCAGATTTAATTAGTTTTCATTTAATTATTTTTTATTTCAATAATTAAATTAATTTTCAGATTTTTCCCTTTACTTGTAAACAACTTTTTGTACTTTGCAAATTCCATAGTTGTAGGTCAACGGGAACTACCCTATGAATTTTGATTCTATTGAGAGTGCCGAAATATGGCTTTTTTTTGCGGCATAAACGGCCCTCTATTTTTTTACGTTAACTTAGATGTTTGAATTTTTCAAAGCTTCAAAGGACTGTAGACCTGAGTATATGGTTTCAATTTCAACTCTATATCTCCACGTGTCCCGAGATAAAGGGTCTTAAAAGACAGACGGACAACATAGCGACCCTATAAGGGTTCCATTTTATTTTTGAGGTACGGAACTTTAAAAAAGTTATAATTTGAGTGTCTGATCTGTACATTGGGCACTATTTATTAACGATTCTCCGAGATATAAATAAAAAAGAGTATTTATTCAGGAAATACAACAAAGCTTGTAGTTTACTTGTAATTGGTTGTATTTTTTAAAACACAAATGCAACATAGGTATGTTAGCGTCATACTCCCAAGGACCATCGTGTTCTGTATTCACATTAGGTAAACTTCTACAAAAATAAACAACATCTCGAACAGTGCATGTCTAAAACAACTTTTGTATCCTACTGATATTTAGCAAACAGCTTTAAAAATAGAGATTTACGTGACGACAAACGTCTATAACCATAAAATAATAATTATTTACAAAAGTGCGTGACAACCTGTTGTGCAATAGGCTTTGTAGCCCCGCCACGTCGCTTCAAATCGTTACTCCATCGTTACCAGTATACTAAAAATCTCAACACAATACAAGAACGAAGAAATGAGGGCTCTGCTTAGATAGGACATTTTAAATTACCTATCAATTTTATGGCACGCCTGTAAGAATTAAACTGAATAGATAACGACAAACCGTGTACGCATGGAAACAATGCTTACTTAAACCCAATGATATTTTTGCTTTTCTATTTATGAGACCATATTTTTAATACTAGTACTCTAGTTACTATGAAATTGTCTTTTTATAGACGACGATATATTTTCTAGTGAGACATCACTTCGCAGATAATATTATTGTATTCTGTGCTTCACTGCTGCACTGCAATATTGTTGTTGCATTGATTAAAGGAAAGTAACGAACAAAAATAACGCGAAAAATAGATAAAACCAATCTTTGAAGCGGGTTGTATTTCGTGTTAAAATATGACCTCAATCAATGCCGAACTTTTTGAGTTTTTGAAGCGTACACAAACCATGCACTGTGTGTAGTCCGACGCGCACTTAGCCGATTTTTAATTGTAAATTGTTCCCTTTTATTTCTTTTGCCAAGGAGCTTCTTTTACAATAACAAGCTCAGACAGTTAATCTTACCTAGGGCTCGTCGAGTGTCTTGCTTGCTTACACCAGGTTCAGCAATAGTGAACACTGTTGTTAAACCTCACGTGCAAGAGTCTTAGTAGTGATAGTATAAAAGGATAGGATAGTGGTATAAAAATATGTAAAATGTAACATTTTGCTGAAATTAAAAATATACATTTCTATATTGCATTTGACGATTGCATCGGACCGCAATAGAACCAAGGTGACGTCGTTAGCCGGAATACGGTGTGCCCTTGCGGTTGACCATATATGCTGCTGAGAGCCGCAACGGCACGCCGTATAATGGCTAACCACTAGTACGGTTGAAGCTGTAGGCAACGAAAGTCTGATTGAGAGCAAAGGGGAAAGAAAAACTAAAAAAAAAACTGAAAAAAAATCGCAAAGATTTCAAATTAGACAGGAACATTTTGAGCTCAATATATTTAAGTACTGTAAGAAAAGTATGTTATTTTGGTTATTATTTGGACTATCTATAATTTATTTATTTTTTCCGTTATTCTCCGTGATACGAACACGATATCGCTTTTTGTATGAGGCCATAACATAAACTACACACTATCGTCTTCCCTAAAGAGATATACAAGACCATAAGTCAGTGAACCCTCTTACCGAGATATTGGTATACACATCATAACCTCCTATTTATTTAGAAAGCTATCATATATTGTTTTCAAGGTAAAGTAAGCAATGACAAGGGTATTGTTGTATTTTGATTTACTTGGAAAAACACGCTTGAAATTTGAAGTTCATTTCAAGTAGCTGTCTGTTGTTTGACTGGAATTAGATTAGCCGAATTAGTACCATTTTAATTTTAAATCTTTTGATTGTAAAAGTAAATAGCTGTAACTTGTCACGTTTCGCTATGGGACATTGTTGTTATGTTGATGAGAAATGAAGCACAAAACCGACTTGAAAAGTAGATAAAAACAATATTTGAAGTGGTTTGTACATCGTATCAAAATTTGAGCTCAATAGATGCAGTTTTTTTGGTTTTTAAGCGTACACAAACCAACAACAATTAAATATGTAGATTTATAGAAGATGAGTTGGTTACAACGCCAATATTTTAATATCAACAAACAATTTTGCGAAAGTTTACTACATGTAAGTAATAAATAATGAACAATCTTTCTCTTTTTAGGTTTCGTAGTCAATAAGGCCACATTACAGGCTCGCTATGTCTGTCAGTCTGACGCTTAGCTTAGACTTTTAGTGTTATAAAACTGTTATTTTGTTATTGTTATTGTGAAGGTTTTATAAACCAAACTGCGAGGTATGAATTTCGTACTGGTATTTGAGATTTCATTTTCACTTAAAATAAAATTTATAATTAAAAAAAAATGGTTAAGTTAATTTGCATATTCATGCAATATCCTTTAAATCTTCATGAGCAATGGCATCGGCATTGGAAGAATTTCCAACACGAGTTTGTTAAGAGTACAAATAAACCACTTCCCAGAAAAACTCTCTCCTAATCCAAGTGGGCGTATATGTGCTTATGGAAATAGTAAAATATCTTCGCTGTTATATCATCCTCTCAATCATATGCTCAACCCACAATACACTGTAGGCAGAATTAAGGAAAAATGGTCCTAAGAATGTTGAATTAGGACGATGATAATATTATCTACCTATTGCTATTGCACGGCCCTTAGTTACTTGGTTAATACAATCACGAGAAAAGTTCAAGGCATTTAATTGTGAACATTGTTGTGATCTAAGAATTAAACTATTTATTTAAAAAGGTACCCATACCTCGAAATGTTTATTATATTGAAATATTCTATAACTAAAAAAACACACACAACAATAACATATTTTTATTACATATTTCTGATTTTAACGGTAATAACATTGCAACACATCAATAACAATTTATGTACTTAACTTAAACTTACTTGCAAAAATATTATGCTCGTTAGTTAATGTTTTTTTTTAATTTTATTTATTATTTAAAATCATGTACTAAATCATTATAAACTAGTATCGCGGTAGTAATAACGAATACTGTCTGGCTGTGAAAGTATTTGTTATTACTACACAAATTAATTAATAAAACGAAACTAATATTTCTTATGTTACACAATGGAGTATCCATATTATTCCTAACACAACCTGTGACAGGCTAACATAATTTTTAAAGCAAAGTTCTGCAGAATTCTGTCATTATTCACGTCGACTTAAGTGGATTCAGTCATGGCATCTTTATTATTCCTGACTTCATTTTGTTTGTTCAGTTTTCTTTTTTGTTCAACATTACATTGTGTTCGAATCAAAAGTATTGGAGGTTAGTTTTTTTTTCTTTTTACCACATATAGAATTGTTTTTAAAACAGGAATTGTAAGAGTTTGTTGTTTGTGTTGTTTGTTTTCAAACTACTGAAAAAAGTTCCTGACTTCATTTTGTTTCTTCAGATTTCTGTTTTGTTCAACATTACATTGTATTCGAATCAAAAGTATTGGATGTTATTTTTCTATCTTTTTACTACATATAGATTTGTTTTTAAAACAGGAATTGTAAGAGTTTGTTGGTTTTGTTGTTTGTTTTCGAACTACCAAAAATAATTCGAATTAAAAAGGTGAATTTTCGAAGATAGAAAAAGATACAAAGTCCCTTTTAAAGCCAATTAAATATACTTTCTTACTAATAATTTATGTGGTGTGTCTTGTGTCGCATTAAAGTTAATTTTCCACAAACCCAATACTTATATTTATTAAACCTGAAGATTTTAAAACGAAAACTTGAAGGTCTTTAAATGAAGCAAACTTAATCCAAACTTTGAAAAATATACATAATTCATTTGTTAATCACCGATTCTTGCTCTTTCGGTAACTGAAAATGATGAAGAATATTATATTTCAGTAAGTTGAATAATGTAACATAAAACGGAGTAATCAGGATTTTTGATTGAAAATAATCTTGATAGATTTTTCTACGGAAAGTTTTCATCTTCAAAATTATAACACCAATACAGATATACACTTGAGACTAGTAATAAATCAAAATATTTCATTAGAAGATTAATAAAGTTGGAATAGCCCTGGTAACTTTTTATAAAACTCTATTCTAATGATATTTATTGAATGAAAATATTGATATATGCCGTTGGTTATTCCCGTCGTTCCCATTCCCATCGCCATCTTACAAAACACATAATAAGGCTTTTAATTAAGGCTTTCAAATAAGGCTTTTAATAAAACGTGTGTTTAAGAAGTTAATAACTGTTTTAGTAGTACTAATCGGTGCCTTTTTTTTCTTTTTTGTTCCTATGCGGAACTCCCCTCGGACACCACCTACCGGTGGGGTGGTTATATCGGATTCGAACCGACCAAAACCGCACGCTAGGTGCCAGTAGACGAGGAACCAGATGACACTCTCCTGTGTGGGAACTTCCTGCCCCCGAAGAGCGTGTGCACCCATCCCGGTCCCGCTCCGCTTACTCCTTCTCCACAAGGAGACGATGGAGTTCCTCCTCCGTTCCAAAGCGGCAATCATGTTACCGAGCGAGAGAATACCCATTCTGATGGCCGCTACGAGGTCACGCCTCTGCTCCAACCGCGCCGGGCATTCTGCTAGCGTGTGGAGCGCCGTGACCACGGTCCAGGCCATCGCAGTTTTGATACTCAGGCGTTGACTCCTTGCAGATCAGGCACAGGTGATCTCCGAAGCATCATTTCCCGATGATTACCTGCGTCAGCCCGTATGAGAGGGTTCCGTGACGCCTCTCCAGCCAATCCTCCATAACGGTTCTTACCGCCTAATTAGTGCCTGTAACTATTTCTATATGCATAAAAATTATTATTTGTAACAATATCTGTCACATACCATACAAAACCTTTTTAAGTTTTACGACATTAACCAATCAATGCAATTTTAACCGATAATTGACTACAAATGGTAAAAACCTATAAGGGATAAATCCTGACCTGTATGAGGGCAAAACAAAAAACCTAATCGATAACAATACGTTACGGCGTCCCTTTACTGCTGCCTTTTACGGTTGCGTGAAAAAACTTTAAGAATTAAGTCACACATAGATTTATCAATGCTGTTTCTGTCCGTTAGAATTGAAATTTCTTATCCCGCATTCAGCTTACTTAGTATTACTAAAATATTCTATTTACAATTTTGTTTCAGAGAATCAAAATCATTTGAATCTTGGGCGTCACCATGAACATACAGGTACCGATAATTACCTTCTTCGTCTTCTTATCAGTCGAATGACATTCACTGCTGGATATAGGCCTCCCATAAGTTTTTCCCACAACAACTGGTCCTGTACCGTGATAATTACCTATTTATGTTTATTAACATTAGAACCAGAATGTATTTTTGTAATTTACAATAACAATAGAATATTCATTATAATATTAAAATATTTGACTATTTCCAGCTCTCGGGGTCCCAAATTCAATCATTTCTTTGGTTGACATTTGTAAAGGATTTTACCACGCTCGCACCCAAAAGGTTGGTAGTTATTTCTAATTCAAATATAGCTTGTCAGAATGTTCAAAAACATGAATTTAAAAAAGACTATTCGTCCAGGCCAACATAAGGTCCCGACATAGCACTATTGGGCGTGATAAAAAAATCCTCTCGTTCATAACACTAGGATAGAGCACGTTCTACCCTTATAGCCATTTTACTCCAAGGATCACCGTCTATTGTTAGTGAGCATATATATACAGTGCAAAAACAAAAACAAGTGAAAAATAATTTTGTCAATAAAAACAGTGTAACAGACTAAACAGTGAATTTAAAAGCTGAAAACATATAAAATAACATAGCAGAAACATCTCACGAAACCACAGAATCTTTTACAGTGGAAATACTAAACAAACTCTCTAAAACTAATTAACGCGTAAGAGTGAAAAAAAAAGTCTGTTATCTTATTTGAATTTCTACCACAGAAATCACAAAAATTCATGCAAACAGAGCCATCTATGACATAGATGCGGAACTACTACACTCCATCCTTAACAAATAAACCACCAGCACAACTCCGTAAATAATACCTATTTACGCCACTAGAGGGATCTGCAATTACCAATATTCATCAACAAAACCTAGTACGACAAATATTTATCATCCACTATGCCTCAATGCGAAGGATGTAAATGTAATACTGGTAATTCAGAGTTCTTAAAATGCGCCTACTGCAATAAATATTACGATCTGCAATGCGCAAACATCCCTAAATACCACTTTAATAATACTATGTCAAATGAGCAAAAAAATATATGGAAATGCCAAGCTTGCATATGCAATATGCCAAAGGGAGACAACTCTAACACCCCAATAAAACCATACATACAACAACACATCTGCGATGATTCTATGAACGTTACAATAAGGCGAAGACCCACTCAGATTACACAAAACTACAAAAATGAAAATGATCAAACTTTAGACGACATAATTGGGAATACAATGAACCTAACTTCGGACAGTATTGTATTAGCTCCAAACGGCCCCGAATCCTTTAAAACTGAAGATTTAATGCTAGAAAAATTCAGCAAACTTTTAGATTCCAAACTCGAAAAAATGAAAATATCTCTTCTCGAAGATGTTAAAATTACGATTCAGACAGAAATGGACACTGCTTTATTAAAACTTCGAAACCAAGTAGAAAATACCACGACAACCCTAATAATAGAACAAGATAAAATAAAAGAAAAAATTTACTCAATTGACAAAAACATAGAACATATCGAACACCAATTACACCTTTTAAAAAATTCAAGAAAAATAGTACTTTATGGGCTGCCTGAACCGCACCACGAAACGGAACACACCCTTATAGACCGCATCTCTAGAGCCTTTCATGACATAATGAATGTTAACATTGATCCATACATAGAAGAGATAAGGCGTATTGGAAAGCGAGGAGGCCATAGACCCTTAGCTATAGAATTAACAAATAAGAGAATAACAAGATACGTGATGGAAAACTCTAACTGTTTTTGGAACTCAGGACTGGCTGTTGAGATGTTCATGGATAGAAAAACATTAATGAATCGCAACAAACTCCGGGAAAACCTGAGAATAGCTAGACAAAATGGTAACCATGCTATAATTAAAAATAACAAACTGTATATAAATGGTAAAGAGTACAAAAAAAGTTCCCCACAAACCACAGAAACGTCCCAGTCCCAGATACCAAATACCGAAAACAATAACTGCAGAACGAGTTTAGATAGCAACAACACTACAACCAACAAAATACAAACACCATCGCAGCCACAGCCAGCAGCGCCAATGTCAACACAAGGGAAAACCACTCGTAACTATAATTTTCGATACTGAACTAAATGTTATCTTTCAGAATATACAAAGTATAGGCAATAAACTTCATCTAGTCGAGCACTTCCTACAAGACTTAAACATAGATATACTGCTATTGTCAGAAGTATGGAAAAATAAGAACTATTGTGATATGATTTCGTTGTCTGGATACAGAATGGCTTCCACCTTTTGTCGTAAAACGCATGAAGGGGCCTCCCCCTTGTGTTTGTTTCCCTGTTTGTGCAATTATTAAGGATAGTTTAGAATATCTTGAGTGTCAAGATATAAACAATTATACTATAGAATTTATAATAGAATTTAGTGCCGTAGAAATACCGAAATTAAATTGTATTTTCATTGGTTTATACAGAGCAGACCGACACATTAATACATTTTTTGAACAGCTAGAGAAAGTGTTACATAAATTAAACACCAAATACAAAAATAAATATATTATATTGGGAGGTGACTTCAATATAAACATTTTGAACAAAAATAAACATACGGAGAATCTTATCAACTTAATGTTTTCAAACAATCTCAAACAGATTATCAGAGAACCAACACGTGTATCAAAAGGCTCCTCAACCTGCATCGATCTACTCTTCACTAACCACATGCCCATTATTAATAAAGCCAGCGTCCAAGATTATGGTCTCTCTGATCATAAGGGTATTACACTAAAAATAAAATCGAAACACTCTTATCCTAATAATAACACAACCTGGTACTTACAGAAAAGACTATTCACAGAAAGGAACATATTACATTTTAACACTTCATTAAATGACATAAAATGGCACGAAATAATCAACACACACAACAATTTAAACACCAATTACGATTTATTTCTCAATATATTGACTAAATTACTTAATACACACATACCGATAAAAAAGCTGAAAATAAATAATAAACCAAAAAAAGAATGGCTCACTACCGGCCTTAGGAAATCATGTGCACACAAAAGAAAATTAAGGGCCTTTCTGAATGTGAATGATAATGATATTATACATAAATTTTATAAAAAGTATAGCCAAACCCTAAAGCGTAGTGTAAACATATCAAAAAAACTTGAGTTTTGTAAACAAATGGAAAACTCCGATAATAAAACAAAAACAATGTGGAATATCATAAATCAAAAAACAGGTAAACAAAAAAAAAGACTCCCTCCACAAAATATATCATTAAAAATTAACAACCACATTGTAACATGTCCAACAACTATTTGCAACAATTTCAGTGAGTATTTTGCTACTGTGGGTATGGGCACGAATAACAATAAAACCAACAAAAACAGTGCGCTGGGTCGACCCGTCATAAACTCACAAATGTGCTCCATGTACTTGCGTCCTGTAGATAGAAAAGAAATAATCGACATAATACGCTCAATTAAAAATACACACAGCTGTGGCATAGATGAAATCCCCCCAATTCTATTGAAACAGTGTGCAGAAAAACTGTCAATACCGCTCACATTTTTAGTTAATCAAAGCCTTCAAGATGGCCAATTTCCAGACCCCCTAAAGATATCAATAATCAAACCGATACACAAAAAAGGCGACACCTACACACCTAGTCATTATAGGCCTATTGCTCTGTTACCCACATTTTCGAAAGTATTTGAAAAAACAATGTGTAACAGATTATACGATTTTTTAGAAAAATATAACATTCTCGATGATAGTCAAAATGGATTTAGAAAATCAAGATCAACTACACTAGCAGTATATAAGTATATCCAGACTACCATAAAACATAAAAATGACAAAAAACATGTACTCGGAGTATTACTTGACATGACGAAAGCCTATGACAAAGTATTGTACGACATTCTTTTGAATAAACTAAGCGGTTCTGGTATTCGCGGCCCAGCTTACACATGGTTTCGATCATATTTAGAAAATAGATCACAAATGGTCCAAATTGACCATTTCGACCCCAATACGAATGAGGTTAAAATAGTCCGGTCTGAAAAAAGGAACATAAAGTGTTCAATCCCGCAGGGCAGCGTGTTGGGTTGTGTGCTATTTCTGATATACATCAACGACTTACCAAAAGTACTAAACAAGGAACATACATTACCTGTCCTATTTGCTGATGATATATCAATACTAATTACTTATGACAAAACCACAAAGCCGACACCACTACTTCAGGAAACTCTAGATACAGTAAATAACTGGCTCAACGACCATAACTTAGAAATTAACTATAACAAAACAAAAACTATCCAATTTAGAACATACAGAAACACCCCCGTAAACATCGACACAACATACAATGGCACACAACTAGAAACTGTAGATACATTCAAATTACTTGGTATAACTATAGACACACACATCAACTGGAAAGCACACATCGAACATACAAAAAATAAACTGTCTCGATTTACATATGCTCTATTCCAACTTAAATGCAGCACAAACGAAAAAACCGCACTGTCAGCATACTACGCATACGCATACTCCTGGTTACGATACGGCATTATGTTGTGGGGAAACAGTGTACACTTTCAGGATTTATTTATATTACAAAAGAAATGTATTAGAATTATCGGACAAATTGGAAATCGTGATAGTTGTAGGCCCTTCTTCATTAAATATAACATCCTCACACTACCATCATTATACATATTTGACATCTGCATATTTGTATCCAAGAACATGAGTCACTTCGCGAGAGTAAAAGACAATCACAATTTAAACACACGCCACAGAGACAGACTATACCTACCACCATCAAGAATTAAAATGCTACACCAGAGCCCTTACTACATGGCTGTAAAAATATACAACAAATTACCTATCCACATAAAAAATGAAACGAAGACTACACTATTCATTAAAAAACTAAAAGCATTCTTAATTACAAAATGTTTCTATTCTGTTAAAGAATACATTGAGGAAAAAAACACTTAACAAACTACATTTCTTATTACACGGAAAACAGAAAGCATATACCTAAGTACAAATCATAAAAAGAAAAATCGGTCGTGATGCTCGGAAATGCTAGGGACAGTAGGAAAATGTGTATATGTATTAGTGATGTAGAATGTCGGGTGCCTTCGTATTTTTGCATGCTTTATTTGATTGTTATACTGTACTATTAAGTCACTTAATTTGTATTGTTCAAAAAAATGCTTGTACTTGTGTAACAATTTATTCTTCTGCGTTCTCTCTCAAATTTTTGCAATGCCTGGAGAAGGCTTCTGAGTTGGGACTACTACATATAATATTATAAGATCATTGATGTACACTTGGTTGGCAAATAAAGATTTGATTTGATTTGATTTGATTTGATCTATAAGTGCCTTCTTTCAAACAGGATGATTTGTCGTGTCGTGTCCATTGCTAGTGGTCAAAAATAAAATTTCTATGTGTCTCGTCTCTAAATGCTCGTAACTCGAAACGATCAAAGGTATTAGCTGAAAACTGTAACTATAATTCATATGAAGTCCAAGCATAAGCTGACGCTTAGACCTTTTGCTTTCGGTATTATAATTTTCAGTATATTTATACATAATTGCTGTAATGAATAAACTGGTATTCTATTCTATTATATTCTAAAAATGTTTTATAGGTTGTAATTTATTAGTACAACATTTATTACCGAATATTTATTATTTACAGGTTGTATGTCTTCTCTGTAAAGGATTCGACCTGTCATGCCTAGTAACTGCAAAGCCAACAACACATCCAATAACAACAATATCTTCAACAACACCCATAACTACAACTACCACTACGACCACACCTGGCACCGTTAGCACTGTTACTGCTACAACTGCAGCTCCCGCTGAAGATAAGTAAACATAAATAATAATAGTGTAATTAAGATCGACATTTTAAAAATAGTTTCATAAGGAGGTATATTGTAATCTAAACTGAAACTTTGATAGTATATAGGGAAGACTGATTGTAAAATCATAAAAAATGTATCTAAGGCAGTAAAGTAATATTTGTGTTAACTGGTATTAAAGTTATGTTTATTATAGTTGTTATAATCTTTTAATCATTATCATCTTCTTTCAATTATTTGGGGTCGCCGTAATGAGAGGATGTATTTGTTCTCAAAATCGTATTATAAACAATATTAATGCAAGTATCACGTGAAAGAATAAATGTGTTAGAAGATTTCAAAGGCATATGGATTACGCTTATCATAAAACTTTATTCCTGTATGGCTTATTAAAATCCCTTTAGCTGATAAATACAAATATTTATTGCGTTTGTAGAAATAAACACCAACTAAAACGTATTAGCTTGTCAGCATTAGTAACTTCCATAAGTGAGTATTACTTGTGGGTAACATTACCACCAAATTGTCGTTATATAAGTTTTGCTATAATGTTGTATTATGTGGAACATTTTCCATGTTTCAATTAGAAAAGCTGAGACTGACTTTAAGTTCTTTACTAGTAAAATCAATTGTTGAAGGTGTTGCTACAATTCTTAAAAAGAGTGACATCAGACCTTTTTTTTACGTATGAAAACCTCCTCGGGCCGTCACCCCGCCGGGGTTTGTGGCGGGGTGGTTTATCGGTATCGGACCGACTAAAACCACACGGTGTATCACTCTGTAATAGGAGGGATCCGGGAATTGCTGTTATTAAAACATCCGGACCCCTCCTAGCGCCTGACCGCGACGGCGAGGGCACCTTCAGGTATATTCTCTGTTTAAAGCTCGCGGCAAAGGGGACACCCTTTGGCGGGTGGAGGGAAAACCGGTACACCCGCGGTCACACTCTGGACTGCATGAGGCGCTGGTAAGATGACGTCTTCGCAGAAGGATGCGATCACGGTTTTTTTTATGTTAGAGGAGGCAGACGAGCAGACGGGTCACCTGATGGAAAGTGACCATCGCCGCCCATGAACGTCTGCATCTCAGGAGCCACAAACGCGTTGAAGGTCGTATCGGTCCGGAAATACTGCAGACGATAACCCGTTCCACAGATTGGTTGTGCGGGCCAAAAATAATCTCGAAAAGCGTACAGTAGTGGAGCGCCAACCATCCAGGTAATAAGAATGAAAATTTTGACGTGTGGAACGATTGCGGAAATTTGCGGTTGGTATTAGTAAGAACAATTCCTCGGAGCAATCTCCATAATATATGCGATAAAGAATGCAGAGTGAAGCTTCATCTCTACGTAACGCCAACGAATCGAGCCGGTCGCAAATCTTTTGGCTATCGACGATTCGAGTCGATCTTCGTTGGGTGCGGTCCAGAGGGAGAAGCTGGTACTGATGTGCCCCTGCATAGAGATGAGAACAGTATTACATATGCGGCCGAACTTGCGTCTTATAGAGCTGAAGGCGGTGGGCTGGAGTGAAATACTGCCTCAGCACACCGAGCTTGGCCAATTTGTCCTTACCCTCTAAGTGACCCCGAAACTGGACTTCGCTCGATACGTCGATGCCTAGGATTCTGATGCTGGCTGATGCTGAGGGAGTTAAGGAGGTACTCTCAAACTGAGGTGATACGACAAATGGTATCTTTTTTGCGATGAACGCTCAAACCTGGGTATTTTTTGGTTTAAAATGGACTAGATTTAGTCGGTCCCAATCTGAAACCTCCGCTAAGGAAGTTTCAATTTTAGACAAGTTTATTACGTACGGGCAGGTATACCGTTTGGCTCGGAGGGAGTGTTTTTGGAGCAGATCCGTAGAACAGCCACACATCATACTCATTATCCCCGTCGTCTCCGACCAAGGAGGTCATCGACGGGGGTGTGTGTTCCGCCCGTCGCAGCGGACCAGCAACTAATGACCAGCTTCAGAGTTTTCTGCTCCTTTCGGTACTCCTCATGAAGCCGGTCCTCCTCACCATTTCCGCGGTGACGCTCTTCCGGGCCTTCTCGCTTATGGCTGCCTCCACTAGTAGGTTCCTATTCAGTCTGGCAACAGCCCAATGCGGCAAGCGGGAGGAACGCCGTACCATGTGACCCCTACTGGGGTCCTAGGTCCGGGTGAGCTAAAATTGGATATTAAGATGATTCGAGAGCGTCTCAACCTCTTCTAAGACACGCCAGAAACTTACTCGTGCGTCCAGGGGTGGGGTCCTATTACTGAGCAGTGAGAAGCTGCAGAGAATTATACCGCCTTATGCGACGACCGACCCGGTCGACCGAAGCGGAAACACAGTCCGCCGCAATCAAAACAGCTGTCGCACTTGATGCGAGTGTGTGCCATGGCCAGGTATTTGAAACACTTCATTGGTCTCGCCGCCAGAACTGTGACTCTGGCGTTCACGAAACCGATGAAAATGTTGGCCGACGCTACGGGACAATTGACCCACACTGCACCCAGGCCCCCTGGACCGAGGCGTATCGTGCCGACCCTGATGTTGTCCGCGTTGCACGGTGTCTTCGAGATCGTCACATCCGAGACTTACTCTGCCACCGAGCGGTAAGTCACGGGCTCCGTGAGCACGTTCTCACCGAGCCCGTCTTCATTCCTCCACTTTAGACAGCGGAGCCACGACAATAACTATTGGTCACCCAAGAAGGGCCCCACCGAGTATCCTTCTTAGTCTGGAGTCTCCCTCTGAGCCAATCCGGCATGAGTGACAACGATACAGTTGGGGGAGTGACATCAGACCTGTCTTAACCTTTCCAATTTTAACATCAAAAATAATTTATATGTTAATATTGTTAGGGTATATAAGACTATGTTAGTTATGCAACGTTTCAGCTAAAAGACAATATATTATAGATGACGCAAAACAAGTCAATTATCTCACTACATCACCGTCGTACTCGCGCACATCAATGAACTGACAGCTAAGCATGATCACGGTCATTTTATTGACAACATACTCTGCTTCTGTGTAACGTGAAATTCGTTTGACAAGTCTTTAAATATGCATTAGATTTTGTACGTATAGTAGGCTGAGTAATAAACTGTATATAGAAATTATTTAGGAAGTCCAAACGGACAGATTGATAGGTAAACAAGTATAGTGGTTCTGATTTTTGCTTTGGCTATTTTTTTTAAACTACTCCCGCATTAGGTATTTATATCCTGACTCGCATAGAACTTTACAAACATACATAAAACAGACACAAAGATGACCCAGATTCAGAACAAAAATTTGTGGATCACACAAAGATCGAACCCACAACACTGGCGTGGCGACCGCTCAAACCACTACGCTATCTGTAGTACGCATCCAGCATTAACCAAGAGTGTAATATAATATATCAAATAATAGCTTTTTAAAACCAAGCTTAACGATAAAATACAAATCAGGTAGATATATAATTAATTGATTAATCAAGTGAGAATACTATTGATAGGTGTCATATGTGTTCACACAAGAGGGGTTCAGCTAACCCCATCAAAACTATAATATATTTATCGCATTTCACATTACCAATTTACTGTAGCTTACTTTCCTTTTACCCAGTCACATGTTTACTTTTAGATAAATGACACGACCATCTGCTTTTTATTTCGACGTTTCTACACATCCTTTGGCAAATATTTTTCTCGATAACGAAAAATACACCGATATTTGCAAATAAATATTTATTTAGCAGTTTCATACCATAGCTTCTGGAGCTATTTAGCGGAATAATCATTTAAACTTTATCTTGACCTAACTTTTATTATGAGGTTTTTTTTTTATATAAACACAACTCCCGCACCAGGAATGAATCCTGTGTCGCGGGGACATTTACAAACATACATGAAACGGACACAAAGTACACCCAGTGAGTTGACAACAAGCAAGGGTAAGTCTGTGATTTTCTAGTATTGTTTTCCTTTTAAGTTAGACTGCACGAATGGCGTAGTGGTTTAAGCGGTCTCCACACTGCTTCCTGCGGCGCCAAGTGTTTCGGGTTCAAACCCCACATGGGACGACACTTTGTGTGATCCACAAATTGTTTTTCTGAGTCTGGGTGTTCTTTGTGTCCATTTCATGTATGTTTGTAAAGTCCCCCGCGACCCAGAATATATGTTGTCTTTTTAAAGAGAAGAGATTTTAAGTGCATATTAACCTTCTACACGTGTTAAAAATGTCTAAAGTATGTCATGTCCAAAATCTCGCAATTCAGTAATAAATCAGCTTAAGTAGGTAAAACAATTCTAAATAAATCTCGGATAATTTACAGTAACGTAAACAATTACCCCAATATCTAAATCTCTCCATTAATACCAGCAAATTCCATTCAAAAACATCCCTAAGTACCCCTTGGCAAGATCATTTATACCCCAAATTGTTATACTTTTCCTTACATTTTAAGGAAAACTTTTCCTGTTAAAATCTTGCTATGGCGCTCGGTTTGAGCTGGAAGTTTTTCCCTTTTATTTTAACTTCTCTTTTGGACATATAATTTTCATCGCTGGATTACATTTTCATCACCAAAATGACTAAACATGTCTTCATGGTACATTCCCCAATGTTCGATAATGTTCTTAGGTGTATTTATGTTTCGGATTTCCTATACAATACTTAAAGGTTATTTACTTGTGTCATTTAATTAAGCGTTTGAAAAAGTAGTATTTTATTTTATTTTATTGATAATACAGGCCACTGTGTATTGTTTTATTTTGATAATTCAGAAACGACAACTGAGCTCCTTGATTCATTTTCTTGTTTGAACCATTATCCATTTGACCTACCACGGTGTTCCATCGGTGCAGCCTGAGAACAATTTAATACCTGTGTTAATGACTTAGTTACACCAATCTGCTTATTATAATATGGCTATGCTTATTGCTGGATTTAATTGTTTTTTGTTAGTGTCAAGTAATTCTTTGTAATTTATTTTGAATTTTGGCTGAGGTTAAAACTCACTCAGAGTATT